CCATTCTGAGTGATTTTTTAGCAGGGCCTCCCTTGCACAGATGTCAGAGCAGGTTGGTGACCCTGCTCCTTGCAGCTTGTATTCTAGGTTGCCCGGGGACCAGTCAAAGAAAGGCTGTAGGCACCAACCTTTGCCTGCAGCTCCCAGGTAGATCCTTTGGCACCCTCTGGGAGCTGACCAGGGTGTGATCCTGGGTCAGCAGGCTGTTCCAACCAACTGATAGCCCAGACAGCAGCACCCAAGCACAGCAGGAACCACAGTGAGCATGCAGGGATAGAGCAGGGCCTCAGCCTGGGTTATGCTGTGTTACCAAACAAGTGACTTTGCGGAAACTGTTCCTAGAGGGGGCACAGAGACCTCCACTCAAACCCTTCTATAACTGCAGGAGACAGTGGCTGCACTGCCAGGCCCCTGGGGACATAGCCCAGGTCATTAAAGCAGGAGCTGTGTGGGCTTAGAAGCCCATCTATGATGCTGTAAGTTCCTGCAAGCCCACCCTTAAATTAACCCTGTATTAAAGTTGCTGGAGCTTACTACTTGCGTAGAAAGCTGTACATCGAAACAGACCCCTGAGGTTCCCCTTGCAGCACCTGTGAAACCACCATCGCCCACCCCAGCCTCCTACCAAGGCAGACAGCCCCAGGACTCAGGCTCACCACACTGAGGAAGTGGCTCAGGATACTGCCACAGACCAGGCCCCCGAGCGCTTGGCATTGCACAAGCCCAGAACCCAAGGCTAGCCCCTGCCCTGCCAGCATTGCTGCTCTGGCCTTTGGGCTTCATGGGACCCTGCAAACCAGCAGCCCACAACAAGCTCACTTCACCAGGAACCTCAAACCTGCTCAGAGCAGCCTGCTGTTCCTTGAGGTCTGAGCCCAAAAGGAAGGCAGCTGGACTTCCCAGCTGCGGGGCGTGGACAGGCTCTGCGGAAAGGTCCTTGCCCCCTGACTGCCTCTTGCGCCAAAGCCCTTCCCCTGCCTTCACATAGACACAAGGAGAAATCAAGCATAGGCTGTGGCTGCCAGAGACAAACCTCAGGGAAATGCTCCTTACCAGGCCCCATCTACAGCCTGGACCCATTACCAGACTTCATTTTGGGTGCCCAAACCCACACAGTGACCCCTAGCATTGGGAACCAGCAATACAAGTGGCTTTGGACCTGCATTGATGGCTGGTTTCCCCATGGTGCTCTCTGTACTTTTCCTGCTCAGAAAATAGTGTGGAAGGCAGGAGACTGTTTTCATGGGGACAACTTGTTATTTAGGTACAAGAAAAAGGACATATTTGCTAGGAGGAGGAGGAGGCTGAATGGTAAAAATCAACAAGAGGCAACTCTGAAGCTGGTTTTCAGCCACAGGTTGTCTGTGACTTGCACCATGCGCTTAACCTGGGTTACAAACTTGGCACAGATGGGCTTTGGATGCTGGGGGCAGGTTTTGCTTTAGAAGTTGTATTGTAGACCTGAGTGACCAGCACGAAGAGTGCAATTGCTTCTCTAAGCTACAAATGATGAGTTTCTCACATTCACACTTCCAAGTTACTCCTGATTACTTCTCCTAGCCTTTTCTCACTGGACTTATGACCACATCTTACTTGCTTGACCTGTAGCACAACCTCCCTGTCATTCCCTGGTTGTCTTTTTGTGGCATGTCTAAGGGAGACAATGAGGGATGAAATACAGGTTTCCCTCACTTCATGCTGGTTCTGCATATGCGAATTCACTCTTATGCGATGACCCTTTTGATACCAAAAATGTGTTATATGCAAGGTAAATTCACTTCTGTGCAGTCGGTGTGGTGGAAGCCCATAGTCAGCTGCTTTGTGCAGTGCATTGTGGGAGTAGTGCACACCAAAATGTAGTCTCCTGTATGGATCTGTGCCCCTTGCTCGTTGTCTGCAACACGTGTTTCTGTAGTTGCCATCCCCATTATGATAGTGCTGTATTTGTGTGTACTGTTTGCTGTTGGTGAGTACCAAAATTGTCTTGTCAAAGTAGTAGAAATGGGTCTGGGGGTCAGTACAGTCGAGGTCTTGGAACGTATCCCTATTTGTCACATTGTAAAGTGGGCTCCCTTTATATGAATTTGAGTTATGTGCCATTTTCCAAGAACGCATGCAAAGCATAAAGCAAGGGAAACCTGTAAATATAAGTTTATACTGGTGCCCAGCTACAGCTCAGCCTTTCATCATTCCTCGCCTTCAACTGAGAGCTGAGCTATAGCAGGGTACTCAGCCTTTGGCCTCTGGGTCAGATTGGGCCGTGGTGTTGTCATGCAGTCTGTGTCACTCCCTAAGGGTCAGAAAATTTGGCATCAGGTGGTATTGTTCCCTGCTGCCAAATTTCCAGACCCATGGGAAGCCCCATGGGTCAGATTGTGTGGCCCTGTCCACTAGATTGGGTGCGCAGGGCAGTGTGGGGCCCAATCCTAGTACATGGGGCCTAATTCAGCCTGTGGACTGGCCCCACACCACTCTTCTGGCGCATGGAGCCAAAAGATTGAACACCACTGAGCTAGGTAAAGGAAAACTAAGCCCCTTTTCAACTTGGTTGAGTCAAAGGCACCAATGTACCATACCACCCCCTGGACCACTTGAAACATCTACCACAGCCCCACTTGTCCAGTTCCCCTTGCCTACATCAAGCCAATCAACCCCTGTGAAAATAGAGCTGTTCCTGAGGTTGAGCTCCACTACGCTGTATGCGCTGGACTTGATTCTTCCATTCTATTCATTACCATCAGAACAGCGACCTCGACTGGAGGGGAGCTCTGCAGTGATCAGACCTAAGAATACTGAAAAAAAAGAAGAAAAAGAAAACGGGCTTGCTGTAAGCATGCAGAGGCCATTCCTCTTGCTATTCATTATGCTACATACTTACTTTCTAATATCAGTGACCTGAGGGCTCTCCGAGCAATTTTTTGTGCAATGAGCTGTCTCCGTATGTGGATGTGTAGAAACCAACTGGTACTTCCCTATTGATGAAGGTTGGAATTCTCTAGGAACAAGAGACAGCATGCTCTGAAATACCAGCATGACCACCTTTCCAAAAGCCTTGATGGCCAAAACACTAGGGTTTGTTTAACTTTTTCTCTGTGCCATAAAAGTTTGCTTTTGATAGAGGATACCCCAGTGGATTGTTTCCTTCCTGATGTGCACAGGTAAATAGACTTTATTGCTTGATATCCTGGGGCTGCAGATGGTACCTGCAACATGTCTGAATACTGAGCAGGCTTTTCAAAGCACTCCGGAGGTGACTAGTACTTAGAAAGGGATGCGGGAAACAGTTTTGTTATTCTAAGGTAAATAACATTAGAAGATAAAAAGTTCAATTTCCTGGGAACTTTTCTGCATTGATTGCACTGTTCCCAATTGTAACATTGTGCTTGAGCTGCATGAAGATTAGGAATGCTGGAGACTGCTGTTTTCAGCAGCCATTTATTTATTAGACAAAGGTGAAGGGTTAAATTTAATCTTCTCCAGACAGGAAACTGTGGGACCTTGTGGTTAGAGCATGGACTGCTGACTCCCGTGATCTGGATTCTAAGCTTCTCTCTGCAGTGGATTCACCATCTGACCTTCAGTTAACTATTTAGCACCTCCATACCTTTTCAATAACACTGCCACATCACTACCTAGCTGGTTATGTCAGCAGTGTCTGCAAATGGTAACCATTTAAAAAGGTGTAAGCTTGGGTTTCTAGACCTTTTAAATGGGAACTGTTGCTGTGCTGACTTCCTGGCTCCATGGATCTGATTGTCATCTCATTTATGTAGATTGAATTCCATTGATACCAATGCACATGCATTGAGGCTGCTCTGTGCTGTAATTACAGGCAGTCCTTGACTTCAAACAATATAAGTTGTTTTGCACTTACAACGTTTATAAATTGACACCCTATTTCAACTTCCTCATGTCAGTTTCGACTTTACAATGCTCGATCTGATGCAATGCCACACCAGCGAACAAGTTTGCTGCATTGCCCATCTCCCTGGAGAACATCTGTCCAAACTTCCTTGGACACTTTATTTAAGGAAGCAGACAAGACTCCAGAAAAACCTGCAGCCAAAACTCCTGAGAAGACTCCAGCCAAGAACCCTTCAAAAAGTCAAGCAAAGTCACCTCAAAGAAGTCCTTCCAAATCAATATGATTGCTATTTACAATATAAATACATTAATGTAGCTATATTACTCATCTATACTTGATTGAGTACAAAATGCTAGGTTATTTTTACTGAAAATAGGGTATTGGGCCTGGGTTCAGGAACCAATCCCCCATTTATAACATTGTTTCCTATGGGAAAATCGGTTCCGAGTTACAACATTTCGACTTAAGATGCAATTTTCAGGAACCAGTTGTGTCAGAAGTCTGAGGACTGCCTGTACAGTGCTCAAGGTTGTGGAATGGTCTTGTGTATAACATGAGCATTTCCTCACTGCTTACCCCCAACTCTACAGCTGGTTTCTCAATACACCAAAAAAATAACTGCAGTACTATTTAATACAACTTAATATTTCCCCCCCTGGATGGGTAAGAAGCCTTAGAACAAAGTTTGGTTCAAATACTTTTGAATGTAAGATAATTCACTTCCCCTGAATATCCTACAATATTTGCATAACATGCATTGTTTTCTTTAACATTCCTGCCTATATGCTTATATCACTAGAAGAGGTGTAGACAGCAAAAAGCAGAGTGATGACAATGAGAGTTAAATATAATTAAAATAGATGAATGATATAGTGGCAGGATTTTTGGTTTTGGCATTGGCCTGGTATTAACTAAGAACAAATGGATTGAGCTGCTTCTGCTGGAATAATTGTTACTGCAAGTTCTGTGCACCAAAAATCTGAAACCAAGTCCTCTTCAGCAGCCCTGCTTGCAGCTTTACCTTCATGTAATATAGCATAGCCAGACATATCAGATAGTTGAAACAGCAGCCAGGTCACTGGAGAATACTGACTCCAAAGGGCCAACACAAGGATAACACACACACGCTAGAGGCTCAGCTTTAGGGTTTATTTCATCTGCTAACATTCATTCTTGATCTAGACAGAAACAATTAGATGATTATTTTTTTTAATTACTTGTTGTTGCTGTGGGAAAAATAAAACCAAAAAAGCAAACCTCCTCCTTAACACTTCTTTTCATAAGATGCTATAAATAAATATATAAAGCTTGTAGGTGTTACTTGGCTCAAGTTAAACAGGGTTTTTTTTAGTTTGTGAAATGAAAAGTGCAAACTAGACACATTCAGCCCAATGGAAACATTTTGCGTGGATGATCTCAGACACAATCACTTTCAAAGAAGCTGAATCTGTGTGATCTACAATGGCAAAGGGGGTGGGGAGGAGTGGGACACTGCTTTTTCTCTATTTTACCCTCAGTCACAACCTGAAAGGGATAAGAACTGAGTTCCTTGATAGGTAAAGCCTACAAGAAAAGGGGAGGAAATGAATGCCCTGCCTTCATCTAGCCTTTATCTCTCCTGTGCTCCTTATACAGTGGCATAGAAAGACAGGAGAACATGAGCAAAACTCCAGACAAGAGCAAATGACTACACAACATCACATCTGACTGCTACCCTTGAGATTGCTGGTAAAGCCTGCGGCTGCTGTTCCTAGCAGGCTATGCACATAGGGGGACTTCACACCGAGAGAGAGTTTGTTTCAAAAAGAAAAAAACCCCCAAGCACTTAAAAATTAAGAGGGGCAACAAAAATAAGTTAAATCATATTCCAATATGTACAAAACAAAATCATGTTCAGGAAAGCATTTGAATATAAAATTATTAATTACAGCACAGCACTCTCCCTCCTGGCTATAGAAGGGATGCTGGGGAAGAAGGGAGGGAGGAGAGTGCAAGGGGCTTGAGGGAAGAACAAGGCTCGTTTGCAAATCATGCATGGATGACCAAAAATTGTTCTAAAACCCACTGCCTGTTGGGTGGGTAAAGCCCCCTGTGACATCCAAGTGCTTATCAGGACCACATTCACCTTGGTGGTTTCAGCAAGCAGCCACAGATAACTCTGGTTGCATGTGTGAAGCCTGCCAGTCATTGATTTGAGTGAGCTGTGCTTTAGTGGCCTGGTTCTGCTGGCGAACCCCACGTCTGCTCCCGCTACTGCAATGTGCCACTGCCCTGCCTCTGCATAGTACGGTGAAGTTAAAAGCAAGAATCAAAGATAGCCCAGCAGTACCGTTACTTGAATCCAGCAGATTCCATGGGTTGCACCCTCCTTTAAAAGATGCCATTTCCCAAACCCACGTGCAGATCACTGCAGTGATATCTGCTACCTTCAGATACTTCCAGGGAGGCTGGATGCCTCAAAGCTTTGTGAAGGGGTGAGGTAGGCTTTAAATGCTAAGTCACAAATCCAGGGCACACCCTTCTCAGTGGTATCTGCATCTCAGTCCATTTGCTAATAGAGTAATATCCATGTCACCACTGGCAACCTTGCTTATTGCCTTGCCCTGTGATCCCAGCAGAGCAGCAAGGTGAAGAGCTGGAGCAACCTGGCAACCAAACTGCGTGTCACAGGAGGGCATCCCTGCAAGACAGACTTGAAACATGTGTTGGAGGCCTTTGCTGCCTGCACCATTCCTGTTGTGTAGGCCACGAAGGGACTGCAATGTGCAGGGTCACCCATCTGAATCACGTGAAGACATGAATTGACTCCAAGGTGCCTTTGGACAGGAATCCTGTGACAGACAGGAGACCAGGCCTAGTGATATTTAACTCACAACTATCTTCTGTTGTCAGACTCACCTCCATAACACTACTTCCTATTCCAGGCGGGAAGTTAGCATCCTTTCCATGATTTTGCATATCAAGAAATGGGGACAGTAAGAGGTGGTATCTGGTTGCTTATGCTGAAGAAAATAACTGCTCAGACAACTGCCAGCCGATCAGGCTTTGACGTTAGCTACTGGAAGGTGGTTTGGGTAACTCCACCCTTCAAATGGGAAATTATACCTCTTGGGTGGGAGCATTTACAGATGTACAAATGTAAACAACCTGAAATGCAAGGCAGTGAAGAATCAGGCCCTGTTTTTTCACTGGGTGTCACCCCATGTGGATACCTTATGCAGTTGCTCACACCAATGTAATTGCTTTCATAACCCCCCACAAACACTTCATAACTCCTCCCTTCCACCCCCAGGAGTGAAGCCCTAACTAGAAGATCCTTGTAATTGTGGTAGAAAGACAATAAATATATCAATGGCAATTGCTGAACTGCATTGGGACATAATTCATCCACCTTTGAATTCAGCGGTAGCCTTTCCACCGAGTTTGATAAGGCCTTTGTTGGAATCTTGAAATTGTCTTCACTACCTCTGTAGCTCACCTACCCCGACTGCTGCGATGACATATTTCTATGCCTGATGAATAAACATCATATGTAGGAAGCTTGAAATGTATAGGAAGTTCAGAGAGTGGCAGGGGAGATGTATTAGAAGGGGGAGGGGGCACATATTTAACAAGAACAAGATATCTGGCCAATAATTTCTCTGGAGTTTCTTAAAGCCGCTGTTGTCTATTCATTTTAAACTACACATACATTTTTCATGTTATTGTAGCATCAAATAATCTGCTCCTAAAAAAAAGGTGTACCACTCCAAATCGTAGTACATATAAATCACAATAAACTACATTCACATTATGTTAAAGAAATTCCCTTAAACCCACTAAAAGCAAGAAAATTATCGTCAGGGCAATAATTGTGTCCTGCAGCCCCCTCCCTGGCACCCAGCATCTGCAGTAAATTAGGGTATAGTCTATAGCCAATAGCTTGGCATAGCAGGCTGGGTGAAGTCACAACTCTTCATTTCCTTTATTCAGACTTAATATTTATTTTTTTAGTGCTTGGAATTGGTTCTCCCACACTATGCCTCTTTGTAGAGAGCACATATTGTTATCCCCAATGTACAGATGAAGAAGCTGAGGCAGATTGGGGGATTGGTTAGAACCAGGACTTGAACACAGACATTTCTGGCTCCCAGTGCCAAGCTAAGACCACTAGAAATCTCATCTTCTTTGTGGGTTTAAAGTGAAACCATTAACAATACTCTGTAGTTTCAATAGTTTGTTATTGTAAAGAAAAGGTTGGAAAGAGTCTACTATTGATGTGCTCCTGGGATCAGAGGCTCCCCCTGATTGAGAACCTGTAGACAGATCCGAGAGCTCAGCTGGTTACTAAGGGCCTGTAATAAAGAACTTAAGAGAGCCCTGGGCCAAGTTCTGCTGTCAGCCTTGGTGGCACGACCCCATTCATTTGTCAACCTTTTGTCAATGAAAGCAGAACTAGGCCCTCAGTACAGAACTGCTTTTGAAACTCAGTACTAGTGTATATGGTACCGCCTGAGCATTCACAGCATGCTTGCTTCTGGAGCTGTTCTGATGTGCGCTTTGAATACGGATTAGCTGTAGTAACCATTTGTGCATTATAGATCCATAACACTGAATGCACAGTGAAAAGCCTTTGGGTAAAGTTTAATACTGTGCATATGCTTTTTATATCTCGTGTTTGGGTCTGTGGATAAACAGCCTGTAAAACTGCATTTTTAAAAAAATAAATGTTTTCTTTAGTTACAGCAACACACTGGGAATGAGCAACGTTATTACTCCCAGGTCTGGGAATTCAGAGATGAAGTGTGGTTGTAACACCCCCAGCCCCAAAGCAACAACTGAAGAGCACTCCCTTTTGCTTCCCAGCTTTCAGCGTGTAGCAAATGTTCTTGGCCAAGTTACACACCTTGGGGAACAGGAGCCAGGTCTTAATGGAAGCACCAATAGACCCATAACGAGGACAGCACTGGCAGGTAGCGATTAACAGCCTGGTTCAGAAAAGGCCTGAACTCTTTGCTCTACTGACAGTTAAGCACATGCTCAGAAGCTCTGGTGATCTCAGCTGGAAGGGCCTGATCCAAAACCTACTGAACTCAGTGGAAAGGCTCCCAGTGACTTCAGCAGGCTTTGGCTCAGACAAAACTTGGACTGCAAGTCAATACAAAGTGCTGCCCAGGTTTCTGGTCCACATGCTTCCTACCATCTCCATTGTGTTTGGAGAAAAACATCTACCAAAGCACCAGGGTATATGAGAGGAAACCAGATAGTCCCTGCAGTTCAGGCAGCCCCCTCTTCTGCAAAACTCAATTTGATTTCTGGAGCGCTGGTAGCAGGGCACAGAGGCAGAGAGAGAATTAAAATACAACACGAGTGACACTTCAGTGCGCTCCTGTGAGGAGAAAGAGCCACTCTGTAAAAATGACAGGCTGGAGCTGAATACATCAAGCTCTCTGCCTTCCCACCTGTGATTTCAGAGCCATATCTGATCTGCAGTTAACGCAGTCTTTGAAAATCAAACTGTCTTCTATTTGATTTGTACTTCACCCTAAACAAGAGCTGGTTTGGGTCTTGGAGCAAAGTAATAATGGGTGATGCATGAAGCAGACAAAACTTGCTTCATTTCCATGTTTCAGACAAAACCCAGAAGTGCTTAGAATAACAACAAACCAGATCATAGCCGAAAGAGCTGGGGATGGGGCACTAAAAAGGCCCTGGCTCGTCTCTGAATTGAAGTTTACACGAAAAGCTGGTGCAGCTGAGCCCACACTGGAGAATGTCATTTTGTGACACCCTAAAAAAGCACGTGAAGAAGAATGGCCCTGGCCGAAGCAGGGCCTGGGACTGAAAACTGTTATTGATGATCTCCCATTCCAGTTTGAGGAGTGCAGCTTGTTCATTTAGCATAAGGTTTAGAGAGAAAGCACCCTGCCAAAGGACCATGTGCACTGCTAAGCAATTCATTTGGAGCAATGGCAAGAAATCACAGAGCCCTGGCACAGAGCCCTGTCCTGCCCCCAGCAAAATCAGCAAAACTTTGCCCACTGACCTCCCTGGAAGCAGGATATCACCAATGGGTTTTTTTTAATAACATTTTGAAACTGTGGCCACAGGTAAGTAAATGGGTGCACTGTAATTAAGATTTGTTTTTCACACCAATGTTAAAAGCACCCCTCAGCCATATTGCCACTGACAACCAAGTGCTTGTGCACAGAAGTGGTTAGTTAACTCTGTTAGTCTGAAGTCAGGCAGAAGGCAGGGCAGCATATTAGACTAACCAGTTCAGAGCGGCATGAGCATTTGTAGGCATTAACCTACTTGTTACAAACATCTGATAAAGTAGCTTGCTTCTCCCAACCAGTTAGTCTCTAAGGTGCTGAGGTGCACCCTCCCCTACCTTCCAGCTGAGTACTCATGGGAACTTCTTCCTGCTGTGGGGATGGGAGGGAGTGATGCTGCCTACTTTCTTAGCTCGACTTGTTTCACATCGAAGAAAAGGATTTTCACGTGGTATTGACAAAGTCCATGGATTAAACGCACGTACTGCACATGTGTGGGGATGAGAAGGTTGTATCTGGGTGCATGTTTCTCTCTACAAGGAATGTGGTGAGATTTTTTTCTTGCATTGGAGACTGTTTGAAGCAAACGTGGAGGATGTTTGTGAATGAATTCCCTAAATGTTGTTACTATGGTAAAGTGATGTTGAGAAGTGTGAGACCAGTGCAATGCATCCAAACCGCTGTGCTAAGTGTATATCCTAGGCCAGAGAAAGTTTGTTTTAATGTTTCTCATCCTCTGCTGTCCTTGTTTTCATTATGCTCCATTTTCCTGGCAGTGGCTGCCATCTGAATCCGAGCAGCTGCCCCTGTGGTGAAATCATAGCCCGACCGCATAGCACACAATCAACTTCACCATTACTCTGACTTGAAGAAAACAAAACAATTTCCCCTCCTCCACCCTCCAAAAAAACCACAAAAGAAAAACCCTCATTTTGTTGTTTTGTTTTAAAATTACACAGATGTCTTTGTACTGAGGGGAAACACGGGGAAGTGGGGGAATCCTACATCTGTCATCTATTCTTTTTTAATTTGGGAGGATAAGAAACATTACATTGTATTTCGCCTCCAAAGCGGGTAGCTGCATGTGCGCATTTCTAAGTCTGAGTTATAATGTTGACCTTTTTATTTTTTATGTATTTATTTATTTTTTTAAGAATCTCAATGGTCTTGTAAGAAACAGTAAAAAGACCCTTTGTTCAAAGAAGCATTCTACCTTCTGTTTTACAGGCTCACTTAAATAAAAGACTTTTTTGTGTTGGTTTTTGTATTTTTACTTCCACGATCTTTTGTAATGGAAACCCTAGAATCTCATCAGTACAAAAGTCTGCCTATGCTACCACTTCTCTATAATATGGCTCATGTAGTCCTCAGTGGGCAAGCGTCCTTGCTCTTCTGTCTCTTCCTTGGGAAGTGCTTCATTGGATCGGTGAAGAAGCCTCTCTTCCCGATTCTTTATCCTTTGCTCCATCCTCTCCAGCTGCCGTTTATACTGATAGCGCTGTTGGAAGAGGTCCTTTGCATAGTCATAGAGCTGCATGTCCAAGTCATTAAGCTCCTCAATCCTCCGGATGGTGTTGTTGTCCACCTCCACCCCACCTGCCCTTGTGCTGTTGTACTGCATGAAGGGCCTGATGAATTTCAGATTAAAAGTTCTCTCAAACAGGTACTGAGTCTTCCTCTGGAACTCTGTCAGGCCAAAAAAAGCCATGTCTTTAAGGTTCTTCTTTGCACTCTCTAACAGGATCTGTGCTCGCTTGTTCTCAGGGATAAAAGACATGTTGTAGCAGCCCACCAAGCTCAAGTCAGCCAACATCCTCACCTGGCGGTTGTTGGCCAAGTTATACGGGCAATCCATGAACTCCTGCAGCGTACACCCTGACCAGTCCGTGCCTTCATAGCATGATGGCAGCTCTTCAGGGGTCGGTGTCCGACCATCACACATGTGCAAGGAAGTCTTCCACGTAGCTCCTCGCTGGACGTGTCGCCATTCGCTGAGGTAACGGGACACAGGGTCTCTCAGCAGTGTGATGTAGTAAAATTTTCTAGAGGAAGAAGAAGAAGAAGAAATAAATACTCGGCATGCAACAAACACAGTCACCTAGCAAGTAAGGCCTAGGACACACATCAAAGAGGACAGCAAGTTAGCAACTCAGCATTTGTTTCATTTACTGCTGATTATTTTCTTCTTAGAATCTGTAATGTGAGGTAATTTAAGCCACACTGGGGCTATATGTCTCTCCCTGGTACTCATTCGTTTCCATTTCAGGCATGCCAAGTCATAACTCACTGTCTCTCTGGGATATCGCTTTCCAGCAACAGAATGCCATGTCGAAACGGATCATCAGAATTCAACTGATCTGCCAACTTTATGGAGCGGCTTTGGCTTTTGGGGTTGACTGGCCTTTCACACGACCGTGCACCTGCAGTCAGCTAGGACTTGTTCTGTGCCACTGGCCAAGAGCAGGTCTATTTATAAGCAGACCCTATCACTTTCAGTTTGTACACCTGTTGAGTGGGTAGCCTATCACTCCTTTGATCTTGCGACCAAACTGGAACACAGGTGTCCACATCGAGAAGTGAGGCACAGCCCAGAAACCTCCTTTAAAATAGACCGGGGAGGAAGCTGGAGAGTGAGTCTACCAGCCGTGAGCAGCAGCTCAGTCTCACTGGTGCCAATCCATACAAATTCATGCAAAACCTAACCAAAATCCAGTATTCAAAACACAGCATAAGTGGGTTCAGAGGTAAGACAATCAAGAGCAATAAAAAAGTCTATGCTCTGAGCACACTGTAGTGCAATAATGTAAAAACTGGCAGCCTAAACCATGTGTGCTGCATCTGTGGTGAGCAGAGAATCACTGAAGCCTCAGGCCATGGTGTGCTTGGTTACCCAAAGGCTTTGTGACTCAGATGAGAAAGGTGAAGCCCAGGGGTGCTCAACCCCCAGCCTGCAGACCAGCTCCAGCTCTCAGCACCTTGTCATCCAGCCTCGAGGGCTCCCCATGGGTTTGTGGGGAACCCCATGGGCTGTGGCCCTACATGCTAGGCTGGGCACACAGGGTAACATGGGGCCTGATCCCAGTGTGCAAGAGCAGTGTTGGGCCCCCGGAGCCCATTCCCCGCATGTGGAGGCAGTGTGGGGCCCTAGGGCCACATAACTGCACACAGGGCCAGGGAGAGGCAATGTGGGGTTCCTGGTGCCTGATCGCTGCACACAGGCCTGGGCAGAGGTGTCCTGGGGCCCCAGAGCCTGATCCCCAAATGTGGGATCAAGCAGAGATGGAACGAGGCCCAATCCTGGTGTGTGTGGGGGGACTAGCCTCATACCCCTCATTTGGCCTACAGCCAAAAGGTTGAGCACCACTGGTATAGCCTAATACCAGTTCTGTTTAACTGGGCCTTGACCTAAGGCTCACTGGAGTCAATTTTCATGACGTTAATTGGTCACAGGATCAGTACTTTGGGATAAATAAATGGCCTTTTAAGTCACTTAAGTAGATAGGATCCACTGATGTGCTCCAGGCCCCTCAGCCTAGATGATATCTTCTCATCTCAGCAGGGCCGCTAGAGACTTCATTGGCACAAAGCACCAATTGGGGTTACTTGGGGTCCTGCCCTTCGAGAAGGGTTCAGCGCGAGTACAGGACCAGAACTGTTTCCTTCTGAGCTGACATCGGCAGAACGTGGCTCTGTGCTGCTGCAGGGTTAGGGCAACAAGAAATACATGTGATGTGCCCTGCAGGGGGTTCTGGGGGATTTTAGAGAAAATAAAAATGCAGATTCAAAAAAACCCTCTGTTCTGGCTAATATTAGCACACCCCATATTTTCCTAATGCCTTACATACTGTTGTTTCCTTGCAGTCACCTATTTCAGTGCAGAAGCTTGAGTGATTTAATTTAAAGAAAATGCATCAAAACTAGTGCCCAGGAAATCTAATTTGAAGGAACACTTCCCTTTCCACTTGACTACTAATTCACCAATGGCCTGATCCCAAACCCCAAGCACTCAGCATGGGTCTTTCCACCAACTTCACCATATGCTGGGCGAGACCGACTGCTCTTTCACCTTCAGTTTTCACAAGCAGAGCTGGTACGGATGACAATTGTGGTTCACGTAAGAATGTCTGGCTCTCACCATGCCAGAAACACAGTGCTGTCTAGTAAAATAACACTTGTAGAATGATAGGGAAAAAACCTCACTTAAGTTTCTTTTTCTTTCATTTACATTGCAGCCCATAATAATGATTCATCTCCCTGACTGGATGCAGCTATGATTTATATAAACAGCGCTAAGAAACCTCTAACAGATGAGGATAAAATATGACAGTGGAAGGAGCAGGAAAGCAGTGATGGATGCCAGATGTTCAAGCAACAGACACTGATGCTAAACATTGCTGACTTTTTTTTTGACTTGTGAACTGTGGTGGACTTTTTAAAATGTTATGTCCACCAATGGAATCTGAAGGTTGCAGTTTTTCCTGAAGCAGTTTTAAAACTATATATTATTATGTGGAGTATGATAGTGCCCAGAGGTTCAGATTGTGACGGGGATCCATTTCTAGGTACTGTACAAAGACAAGGTATGAGATGGTTCCTTCCCTGAAGAGGGTGCAGTCAAAGGTGATAAGGGTAGGAAAAAGGCAACATTAAAGATCTTTATGTTACAGATAGGGAACTGATGCCTGGTAGCTTGGATAGTCACACAGGGAGTCTGGGGCAGAGCAAAGTCCTGATCATAGAATCACAGAAGTAGGGTCGGAAGGGACCTTGTAGATCTTCAAGTCCGACCTCCTGCCTGGGCAGGAGGAAAACTGGGCTCAAATGACCCCAGCCAGGTAGGCATCAAGTCTCTTCTTAAAGACCACTTCCCTTGGAAGTTGGTTCCAGATCCTAGCCACCCTAACTGTGAAGTAGTTCTTACGGATGTCTAATCTAAACCTACTCTCCAACAAGTTGTGGCCGTTATTCGTTGTTATCCCGGGGGGCGCTAGGGGAAACAAGGCTGAACAGGTTCAGATCCTGTAGCCTCTCATTGTAGGGTCTGCCCTGCTGTTCCTGGATCATGCGGGTGGCCCTCCTCTGGACCCTCTCAATGTTGTCCACATCCCTCTTGAAGCGCAGCACCCAGAACTGGACACAGTACTCCAGCTGTGGCCTGACCAGTGTCGTGTACAGGGGGAGGATCACCTCCTTGGCCCTGCTTGAGATGCACCTGTGGATGCACGATAGGGTCCAGTTAGCTCTGCCGACCGAGACCTCGCATTGTCGGCCCATGTTCATCTTGGAGTCAATGATGACTCCAAGATCCCTTTCTGCCTCCGTGCTCTCAAGAAGGGAGTTTCCCATCTTATAAGTGTGCTGCTGGTTACTACTGCCCAAGTGCAGCACCCTGCACTTGTCTGTACTGAAACGCATCCTGTTTTTGTTAGCCCACCCCTGCAACCTATCCAGGTCTTGCTGCAGTCTTTGCCTCCCTGCTAACGTGCCCACCTCACCCCAAATTTTGGTATCATCAGCAAATTTAAACAGGTTGCTTTTCACCCCATCGTCCAAATCACTGATAAAGAAATTGAACAGTGCGGGCCCAAGGACCGAGCCCTGGGGGACTTCACTGCCCACTTCCCCCCAGGTCGAATATGACCCATCCACCACCACCCTCTGAGTACGACCCTTCAGCCAATTTGCAATCCATCTGACTGTGTAGGCATCAATGCCACAGTCGCCCAGTTTTTTAATGAGGATGGGGTGGTCAACAGTGATGTCTGCCCCAGTACCTTAACCACAAGACCAACCCTCCTGCAATGTAAAAGTCAGTCAGTAAACAGACGTAGAATATGCAGCAAACACATCGCAGGTACACCCCTTCGAAGCAATGCTGATGTTCCACGACTAGAACAAAAAAAGCTGGCATTTCAGCATGCTTCACTGCTTGATGGCGCAGAACAGGGCAATCTAACTCCCCAGGGCAATCTAACACAAGAGAAAGGATTAAAAACAAGCATACCTTTCTCTGTATCATGACTGCAAACATGCAAACTCATGACTACAAACAAGCATACCTTTCTCCATCTCATGACTGCAAAAGCATTTGAGATGTAATATTAGCAAATATTTTACAAAAAGCTTTTGCTTTCTAAGGCTGCATTTAGTATATGGCAGGTGCAGGAAACAAAAATATGTGGAACACCTATGAGGGGTGCTTCCTAACACCATCTAAGAGAAAAGAAGCAACTACTTCAGCTCAAGGAGGGGAAGCTGGCTGGTAAGTGTGGAAACATGATAGATCGGAGAATTATAAGTACATATCGACATTTTCAAGTACTTATTTCCTATTATTAAGGAACCTGCATAAATCACTTAAATTGCAAAAAGGGCCAAGGACCTGTTTTCCCATTGGTTCCAATGGCCGCTGCGGGGTTTCAGCTACTCTGAAAATTAGGTATCTAAATATGCACACAGATACCTAAATTTAGACCCACAAGAGTTTGAAAACTGACTGAATGTGCCTGAAATTATGCACCCAAATCTACACTTAACAATTTAAACAAGTGGCCTGATGTTCAGAAGCAGAGAGTACAGTCAGCTCTTGATAAAATCAATGAAGTGACCCCCAGTGGACTAGAGGGGGCTCATGTAAAGAGAAGAGCAATGGATTTAAGTGCCTAACTCAAAAGTACACAGATGGAACGCTTTGGCCAAAGATATTCCATTCTTAAATATGATATTTTAGGATTATAAAAAAGAACGAACCCTGTAGCTGCACTGTACTAGCCTTTATCAAGCCTAGCAAGCTTTAGCAAGCTAGCTCTGCATAAGAAAGTCAGGGCAGGGCCCTTGTTTCAGTGTGGTTGAAAACAGGCAATGCCACCTGTCAGCAGCAGTTTGAAATGTATGAGTCAACACATGACTAGTAATTTCTCTTTTGTCATCAGAGATAAAATAAGGCCCTAAAATACATGCAGCTGGGAAGCACCCCTTACTTTCAGCATTGTATCCTAAACAGCTACTTGAGTACTACTACAGGCTCATTTTCGAACTGTGG